GGAAGCTGGCCTAATCATTATTGTGGAAATACTGCTGATTGATCGACTGATTGATTGAAAATCAAGGGGGGGGGGCATGTTAGTTGTTCTGCCATTTTACTGTGAATGCATACATGTTCCTGTCTCTGTAACCCTCATCCAAACTAAAACAAGAAGAATTTTGCTGTTCACCTTAGAACAGTCCTTTGTTCAAGTCAATGTGCCTTCATAATTAGAAACTATGAGTCTGAGTTATATTACCTTTTTTTACACTGAGGGATCCCTCACACACCTGCTCTTGGGGATTTGGCTCTTAAACTGTGTTTTGGCAGAGCATAATGTCAATAGCAAGGAAAAAGATGATGTCATTATGATAGGATTATTGACTTGGAAGATAATTGAAGACATTGCTTTCATAGACAACACAAGGTGAATATCCAAGCCAAAAATTTCATGTCCCTTATCATTAAAAAAAGTGTTCTCAGACCAATGAGACCAGCTGTTCCTATGCATCCAGCTGCTCCCCACCCTGACTTGCATATTTTATATATCCCAGAAGGCATTTAAAATCTGCAGCATCACTGTTGAGTTTATTGCACTATTAACTTAAAAACTGCATTAACAGTTGTGTGGTAGTTAAGTAAAAAATTTACTGTGAATGGTTTATTGTTGCAAGAAAAGGGAGTACTGCTCTCCTTTGCTAATATTCCAGGACACATAAATGTAATTTAATTTTTTTTTGGTAAGCAAAATATTAATACAATTTTTTTCACTCCTAAGATATTTGCATGGCTTCGACCTGTAACTTGCCTTTCCAACACAATTGCAAAATGTCGGAATTAACATTGAACATACGATCTTTCCAGCATAACTGAGCACCTAGGCAGGGGCATATAAATAAAAGTTACTGGGTTAAGAATGAAAAAAGAATAATTCTACAGCTGGAGGGGCACATACTTGCAACTATTTCAGCTGGTGAATACCTAGTAGCAAGTTCAACACACTTTGTTGACATGTTAGTTTAATACTTTTGCCTTATTGTACTTACTACTTTATATTCCTGCAAAATTTCATTCACAATGTGAGCTAAGTTAGGAATTTCAAGTCACAGACTTTGAAAAAGAGAAAGGAGAGGGGATATTCCTCTGAGAACTACTTTTGACGTACAGCCTCTTGCTTGTGGGGTGCATGTGTGACTTTCTTAAATGTCTGGTCAGCCATGCTAGATAAAATAGAAGAAAGATACATGGAAATACGCCTTACCCCATCTTATTTTTCTTTAGATATTTGAAATCTGTGGGGATGACAACAGGGAATGAGAATCCTGGCTTTCTGCAGAAACTGCATCTGAGAATGTATGTAATCAGGGAAACATGAAATGATCAGCTTGGAGCCCCAAAGTAATAAAGTTTTCATCTAAAATATTCTGTGGTGGTAAGTTTCACACACTCATCAATGAGTGTAGCACTACCATATTCCCAATGCAAATAGGCTCAAGCAAGATTAAAAAAAAGGATGTATTTTTTTCTGAGATATTCCAATCCAATGTTGATTTAGTCAAGCACAGTAGATGTTATTTCACTACAACATCAAGAAAAAGGTACAAGGAACAGCAAAGCACATGTAAAAGGATCATACAGCACCAACAGTAAAGGTAGCAAAGTTCTTGATGAAGCAATAACTTTGTGGGGTTTTTTTTTCCCCTACAAGATTTCTTTCCCTTTCTGTACTCTTTCAGCAGTGTTCATGGGATAATCATTATAGTTTAAACTTTGTCCTCTGCAGGTACAATATCTGGCTTTCAAAGGCTCACACTAATCCGTGCTGTCAAGCAAGGGCAAGACTTAGTCCTGCAGTGCCACCCTGATTAACGACTTGATTGGCATTTCTTCTTGTACTCAAGGGGAGTGGCAGGCTTTGAATTGGACATTTAATCCTCACAAAGTTTTCTATTTATTTTATATTTGCAAGAGTGATCACAAACTTGGCTAGCTGCCCTGAGGAAACAAGCCTCTGGAGCAACACCCAAGTGTTGTACTTTAAACCTGAGATGGTAGAGTTTTACAGAAATAAGTACCTGTATTGCATAACACTGGAAAGGTATTTTCAGGGATATTTTCTTTTTCTTTTATGAATAGATGTGTCATAACTTCAAAGCTCACTATTAGTATTTCTACAGTCCCAACTAGAATGTGCTTCAGCCTCCTTTCATTCTCTCTTCACTTTCTTCTGTTGGCTTTTGTTGTTGTTTAGCACTTCTTTAAAAATAGTCTAGCAAATATACTTAAATACAGTAATTCATGTGTGGAAAGTGAACATTGCTCTTGTTAAACTGAAAATTCACACTCAGAATCCTAGTTTTAAGTATTGCAACTCTTGAACTTAGGGCATCTATGGCAGGTAAATATTATCATTATTATTAGTGTGGATGAGATTTATTGTCCATCACCATCACAGCCACCACACAGCTGGCTGTGCAACCTCTAGGATAAGGTATTGTACAACCATGCCATCCCTGCACAAGGCGTAGGCATTCAGTATGGCATGCTGCCAGTGGGCCCCTTTGAACTTAGGGTCTAGGGCATGAGTCATGTGACCTTCTGCTGCAGGATGTCCCCCTGAAGCGGTCACTTCACCTCCTGGTCTCCTACAGAGAACATGCTCTGAGGTCCTAGCACAGTAATAGTGACTCAATGGTTCGTGCTCTACTTCCTTCTGCAGAGACAAGCAGTAGCGGGCAGGAGGGGAACATGTGCACATGTTCTGTTTACTGACAGGCAAGAAACCAGTATCAAGTAGCTCTGCAATTCACGATTCAACACTTATGCCCTATGCTGCCCTGTATGACCTGCTGCAGGTAAACTTGAAGCAACCCTTCTTGTACTCCTCTGGCTTCTGGTCACACATCCTAGTAGCATTTTTCCTTTCCCAGCAAAAAGTTGGTGAAAGTGGTGAGCTTAGTCTTGGACTACAGGGAGGCACTAATGAAGGTGGGATGCCTTTCATCTGGCCCAAAATCTCCTCGGTCCAGATGGCTCCTGCACAGATCACATTAGCAAGGAAATGGGATAATAGTGACCATAGAAAAAATACCGCCCCACCATACGCAAAGCCCCCTGATCTTCTATTTTCTAAAGCTTTAATAGGAGCACAATGGTACTATAATCCTGTTATTTTTGCCATCTGCCTCATGTGAGATTTGACATTATTGCCACCAGAAACTTTCCCTCATTGTTGTATATTCTGGGTCAGCAATGGACCATGCAGGCACAACCCAGTAGCAAACAACTGCTTTCCAATCAATCCACTAGGCTACAGCTAAATTCTTAAGCAATATTTAACTAGAATCTAAGCTCTGAGTTGAATCCTAATTCTGGTCTTCCAAACTAGAAACTGATGGACGAAAGAGAAAGGAAAGATGCAATTCAGAAAATATTTTATTGAGTACAATACCATTTCATTGTAGGCTTTCATCAAAGGTCTACTTTATAAAACACCACCAACCTCTCTGAGGTTGAATACAGCTTGGGCAGGTGCACAAGAAAGAGGGGCAGCATCTGCAAATTTTCATGCAAGCAGCGTAATATGGGTATTTGCATCCAGACAGTACCTTGTCGTAGTGCCCAAGTTTGCACCATCTCACCAGAAAAAAATTAATAAAGCTACATTTAAATTTCATAAAGGATTGTAACAATCAGTTACAAGTTCAAATTTACAGGGTGTTGCCACTGCACATTCAATGGCTAAACTCAAGATCATAAAATGAAAATTAGGAGCTCAGAATGAAAGTACCGTAGTACACCTTGTGTGGAAAGAGGATTAACTCTAACTCCAGAAATTGATGGCTAACAAGAAATCATAAATACTGTAGACAAGGAGAGCTGTAATTTTTGCTACTGTACTAACATCTAACTTCCATTTTTAGCAGATAGAAGACCATAAAAGTTCCCGGAATAGGGGTTAATCTTGCAACACACAAGTATAATTAAGACTTGGAGTCATGGTTCTTGGAAGGAGATTAAACAAACAGCAGTTTTCAGTTGCATGAAGCACCTGCTCAACTCGTAGAAAACAGCCTTATATGGGGTACAAGCATGGTAATATTTATATGAATGAAGTTACTGCTTATTGGAATGCAGACCAACTAATTTTTCTGGCATAATAGTTCATTTTCAGTGATGGCAAAGCATAAATGTGCTATAAAATGTAGGAAGAGTCATAAGCAACCTTGAAAATGTCCCTATATTGCTTAAATTCTTCTCTCAACCCTCATTCTTTATGAAGTGTATATACATTCAGAGACTGTAGGAAGTTTTCAGGTTGACCATATTTTTGCAGCTAACTCTGAATTTTATGAGCTGGTCCCCACACAACCTTTAAAAATCTGTCATGTACTGTGAAAGAATCTGAGGAGCATTTGTTATAACAGTAAACATGAAGGTAAGTACAGCAGTTAAAAAGTCATATTACACACAGACTTCCATTGTCCTTTAGGTGTGCATGTTCCAACATGTAAAAGCCAGTTTATCAGGAAATAATTTTATAAAGCAGGATGGAACAATTTGCGTACTACAATAATATTTTCAAATTAAAAATAAATTATTAAACCATATTCTAAAGAAAGAAAAATGGAAATGTAAAGTTTAGCATATTCATTAGCAATTAGAGGAGAAAGTCCAGAATAGTCCAGAAAGGCTAAAGTATTCAAATAATTCTGAAGGGTTCTGTTGAAATGAATTTCTTATTTATTAAAAAGACAACACATTCTCAAGAGAGCATCTTCTGCAGTGAAATAATTTAGTTTCTTCATATAGACACATCATACACAATGTTAACAACCATGAAAAACAATACAAAATGCTTTCAAATTTAACAAGTAGAAAAATATAACTAGTATATATGGCAATTGTGAATCCAATACTGTACAGAAGTATTTATGGATTTTACAAATAAATTATAGCTTAAATGCCCTTTTCAAAATTTCTAAATGTACACTGGAACATAGGTTCTGAAGCTTACAACTAACTAGCCACAAACGAGTGCCAGTCAAATGTTCTGCCCACAAGCTCAAAAAATTTCTTGTTGGGTTCGTGGAAATACTCATGCAGTTTCTCAAGTAACCAGGTATCTACTTGTGGGTGTGCTCGTCCTTTTGACTCATGTAAACAACGCTCTCTACCACTGTCCCTCAGGCAGTAGAAGCCTTTAGTTTTATTGAAATAAAAGTTTGAAGCATTTATCTGTGGCGATAACTTCAAAAATCTCTCTACCTTCTCTATTTCTGGGAAGGGGTCTTTGATTAGTTTATCCCCATCTACAATGTGGATATGGTCAAGAGGAAAATACTTCAGCCAGTTTTGCATGTGAATGTAGTATAAGCTTCTGTTTATTGCCTTGTAGTCCACATTGAGTTCACCATCTTTAATCAGGAATTGTTCAATGGATGGATACGGCTTGTGCTTCTGCAAGTGATTATAGAACACTTGGGTGTAGTCTGATAGTACTCTCTCACTTGGGTCTCTTAAAATAAGGAGTAGTCTTATTGATTGGTTCATGTTATAAACTCTTTCAGGCACTTTAGGTGATGTGAAATATGCTGGAGTTTTTTCCACGGTGATCTGATGGGGATAAGAGAATGGCATTTGATTAACATACCACTGCAGTCCGTTTCTGTAATGATCTTCCCAGTCAAAGAAGTGAACTTCAGTTTCTGCTGCCGCAATATCTGGATGGAGACTCAACATCTCTAACAAAGCTCTTGTTCCACCTTTTCTCACTCCAATAATGATAGTCTGTGGCAGCTGCCGGCATGATCCATTAGAATGAATGTTTTCCTTGAAGTCATTTTTTTGAGATGTTTTCTTTAAAAGCTCTCTTTGAACAGACTGAGAAGTCTCAGCCTTCGAATTTATAGCTGGTGTGGAAGGCACTATCTGAGGCTGAACAACAAGCAACACAGCTCCCAGCAGAAAAGCTGCCATGACAGAAGTTCTTCGTCTGGTTTCACTCAAGCAGGTAATGGGGCATAGAGTGATTTCCACCAAGAACAACCTTTAAAAGCTGTTTTTGTTTTGCTGGGTGAACATGTATTTCTCAGACAGAAACTTTGCTGAAAGAGGGAAAAAGAAAAGAAAAGCAGCACATTATTTTATACTCGGACATACCACTACTAAAACCACACTACGAGTATCTCTTGCTTTTCACAACTGAACGACCTTTAGCTTTCCCAACTCTAGGCTCATAGATCATTTGGTGTAACTAAATTCTTTAAAATACAGGCACATACAATAATGCCATGAGAAAATGATTTCCAGTCATCGGGAGACACAAACACTCTGAATCTCTCTCCTGCACCCGAGATTCATTCAGAGTATTATTTTTTAAAATCTGATTTCATTGGATTTGAACCACACTCACAAGAGAATTAAGTGCTTTTTTTATCTGCAAGAACAGGTTTATCTTAGAAACAAAACATAAAAAGGAAGAGGTGAGGACTGGACCAAAACAGCATTCCTAAAAGCTGAGGGTTCTTGTAGGAAGTCTGGGAATTATAGCCTCCTAAAGGACCGTGTGACAGCAACCTTAGAAGCAAAGCCTCCTGGGAAAAAGGTTCACACAATATAGATAGAGCTGCCCAACTGTGGGAAGGTAACATTCTCCTAGGAAGAAGTTAGGAAGAGCTCTGGGTGAGTAGTAGACCAAGGAAAAGTTGAATTTTTGTGTCATTTTTAAGTGAAGTTACCATTTGCTTTGTGCTTAGGGTTTCTAAGGGTAGAGTCAGTTAATATGCACTCCGGCCCTGCAAAAAGGTAAGATAATGAAACCATAGGCTATAGTATGACTGCATAAAAAAAAAAATGCTGAAAGAGCTGTGGTTCCAGTCAGGAAAGAAAATACACAATGGATACTTCGGAAGGTCATTTCAAGAGTTAGCCAGCAAGCTGCTATGATGTAAACAACTAACTTTACACTTTTATCAAAAGACTACTAAATACCACCACCAAACTCCACTTAAAGGTCAGGGTGTTTTTAATGCAATGTTTGAAGTGAAATCTTAATGGCCTCACACATAGCATAGCTGTTAGACTGTCACCTTCTGAGCAGGCTGTGTATACAAGGTCCCTAAATTAAAATGCTTTCCAAAGACTTTATAATCTCAGTGGAGGGCTGGTGCAAGTATGATTTTGGTATTGTCTAACTCCATTTAGAAGTGGAAGCCACGATGGCAGAGCACCTGACTTCTTTGCCTTAGTAGGCTACTGTGATTATGAATTTAAGCTTGGAACGGCACGTACTGTACCAGCTAACAAGGACTGAAATGCGAAATTACATACGAACAACCTGAGGAAATGCAAGGGCTAGGTTTTGGAAACTCTCCAGAGAATCTGAAAAGAAACTAATGACTTTTCCACAATAAGCTAAGTCCCAGTGTGACAAGGACTAATGATGTGTTCCTAAGTGATCTAGAAAGTTCTGTTTGATAGCTTTGCATTTACAGAGGTCATGATTCCACCCTGAATGGAGCAGGTCTGCTTCCTGATGTGATCTGCTACTGATTATTAGTTTTATGCTTTCCCCTTTTCTAATCACTTTTATATTGTTAGGAAGCAAAAATCAAGCCTGGGAGGAACGGGAAGCAAAGCATCATGATAAATGTGAAGCCAAAAGAGTGTGCACTTCCCTGTATACCTGCAGGTTTTGAGCTCATGGGTATGCCATGTGTTGGGCAGAAGGTCATGCCCTGGGCTGTTTTGCGAGGTCTGATGCAAGGCAACTTCACAGAGGAATTTGTTGTTCTTCCATTTTTGGCCACTGTTAAGTTTTATCTGGCTGAAAGAGCTCCATTTTGGCTGTCATCATTAATCTTCTCTCTCTTT